GTTTATCGGCACAAATATTGTGCGTGCCGATTCGATTCGTACCATACGCACTGTAAATGAGATAAATCGTAAATCGCCTCTCTCCTACGTGAAATCGCAACTTAATGCGCCTCGCAAGTCCAAACCGCTATTAAAACGGCACAACATTAAATAACGTTCCGAGACAAATCGACTAAAGAGCGATCTAATGCTCGCTCGCAGCTGGAATCACGCGGCGATGTTTTGTCTTATTTATCGCGCGGATCTACTTAAACGCCCGTCACACCCGATCGAGCGAATAACACGCGCGATGACATAATTCGTGCGATAATTCGCGGTCGTATGTACCTAGCTTGAGATTTGTTTCGTCCTTCGAGAGATAAGGGTTACTTTATCGCGCCGCTCCCGGTCTCGGGGGAGCGTCGCTTTTATCCGTTATGCATTATAGGCAAAGTGCTCGGGACTCGCGAGTGGACTTACAAACGTAAGTGCCCTGTGCTCTTATCCGGCGAGCCCCATAAAAATTTCTTATCCCGCTCGTTCGAGAGAGATGCGGTGCTATCACGAGCGAACATATGCGAGGCAGCAATCACCATCCTGATGCCTGATGCACCTAATCCTCGTAATCGCGGTGCGCACCGCAGGACAAAACGATCAGCAAGGGATCTATCGGGGCACCGATCGCGCAGCCGCGGACTCGCGTCGTTATGTGGAACGATTGCGATACCGCGGTACAGTTACCTTGACACGAGGAGAGCACATCCTTGCGCGCGGCGTGCGTGAAACGAGGATGAAAACGGGGCCGCGCCGCGAATAACGCGCGTCGATAAATATTTTCTAGGCTAAAGCGCGGTGCGCCCAGAAAACATAAATCGATGCGGTGTCATATAGAATGTATCCATCAAATTATATTCGGTTAAACGCCGCCTGGTTATTTTTTTCTTTCTTTCTTTCCGTACATCATCGGATATAAATCTGCGGTGCAATGTAAGGCATCAGATACACGTGATGGGAGAAGAAAAAAAAAAAAAAAAAGATAGAATAAGTAGGAATTCAGGATGAATATTAGGCAAACGGAGTGTGGCCTCTGGAAGAGGAAAACCAACTGTCGCTATAACTTTTGAGCGCTAGCGCTACTTTAGAATTCACAAATTCATACGCCACTAAATGACAGGGCATAAATAAAATAACCACCATAAATCGTTACGAGTTCACGTTGTTCCGATACTTTATGCCTCGTTTAAACGAACCGTCCAGTAGTTGAGTTTATCTAGAACGCAGATGTTGCTACCTACAAAACGATTTTTGTGTGCATTAAGCAATACCACGTAGATATTTTATTACAGTACGCGTGAGCGTGGACACCATGACATCCGCAAAATCATCAATAAATGCGACAGAAGAAAAAAAAAAGCCATCTGTCAGACATCAATGACGGCTAATCTTCTTGTATAAGTATGTCAAATATACAATCAAAACGCAATCCATCATATTTCGAATTTGCCTGCCTATAAGATTTCAACTACACACCTGATTTGATTTTATTGCGCGAAATGACGTTGAATTCAAAATTAAAATTCTGTCACGGGATTTAAAAAATGCATATTTCGATAAGCGTGCGATATCTCAATTTCACCATCCCGCACTGGGTGCGATCCTCTGTCTTTCTTATCCTCCTCGCAACCTAAAGTTTTTGTTGAAAATATCCTTCTACCGAAGAATGTCGATTGCTGAAGCGGTGACGCGTTTCAATGTACCAAGATGTAACGTAAAATAAGTGGAAGTGGAACGACGATGATCACAAATCGCGAATAAGAAATCGGACGAAGTAAGACGAACCTGGAATCGAGGCGAGATTCCAATCTCAATGGATGAATTCACCGTGAAACATCGCGATTCCCCGTCGCGATTCACCACCATAAGCGTTTTCGCGCGGCCTTCTTGCCATCCTGTTCCTTACCTATTTTCTCGCACCTGCTCGCGTTTCCTTCCTCATGTATTTTTCTCTCCTCCAATTCATGCTCGGCACGTTTGCTCCTCGTGATATAACACTTTGCATTACTTCTTTGCATTATTTTTCATCTGACTTTTTGCCATTTTTTAAGGTTCGATTTTCTCACTGCGCGAGACATTATGTGACGTCAGAGGCGAGAAATGACATGTAAAAAGTTTCTTGCGTCAAAAGTTGGACAGATATCTTACTTTTTGATATTTTTTACAAGTCTTAAGAATACGAAAATATCATATTTGTAAGGGAAGAATACAAAACAATACAAAACAAAGCAGGAATATACTATACGACGCAAGAAACTATTTGCATATTATTTCTCGCTTATGACGTCATAATTCAATGGCTGCGGCGAGAGAGTCGAGCGTTTAAATTTAAATTTTTGTTTAGCCAAACAGGTCTAGGATTTTCGTGTCTTTGACATATTGCAAATCGCGAAAGAAGATAACGACGCGTACTGCTATAAGAAAAAAATAAAGGTTTCCATTTCTCGAATTAAATAACGCTCGTAGACGCAGCACATCGTGTGCTGGTGCTCCTATCTGGAAGCTCAGTTATTACTGAAACTACTGTAATCAATGCTAATATGCGGCTGGTCGGTACTAAGAATTAACAATTTCCGCTAACCCAGGACTCGCGGTGCTAACTTTGTGCGCGTTGCAACCTAGCGTCTGGCGTAGTAAATCAATATAAAATCGTAAGTACTAAACCCCTCTTCGCCCAAATAAAAAGTGCGGTGATATGTGGAAGAAGCTATTTATTGCGATAAGTATTTACGATACGGACGCCCGCGCAAGCTACGGAAGCGCACGATTAAATTGTGTATCGCAATAAAACCGAAGTATAATATACGATAATGATGTATCCGCATTCTTTCAAATACTACAAAAACAAAATTACTCCATCAACCTCGGCGTCAGTTTTAATTACAATTTAAGATAAGTAAGTCATTAATTTACGACGGTTTACGTTATATCTCATCAAAACGCGTCGCTGTTAAGTAATATATGTAAAAAATTATGCGGATCTCCTATCCCCTGTGTGAAGATTACTAGAAGTGTGCAAACGAAAATTCGAAATGTGCATACACGTGCAAACGATGAGCAATCGAATGAAACTATAGAAACTTTATGTTTTTCAATGTTGGGGGGCTATCTTCATACAGGTGGATCTCCTTATAAAAAATCCTGCTAAAAAAAGCCCAAAATTTGTACATTTATTTTTGTCGGTGCTAAAAAGCGAAAAGTAACATATCTTGGCCATTGAGAAGAAGACAGGATGTCCTAAAATGGCGCGAATTCTTTCTCGAGCGTTCGCTTAAAAAGATTCAGCTTTCATATAAGACTTTGCAGACTTTTTCGTCTTCAATTCCCTTCGCACATAAATAACAGAACACCGCGTATAAATATACGTAGGAAGGCGAATCCTGAGGAGTTGAGATTATATCGGCCCGCATTACTTGCGCGCCGCTTAATGCGCGCTGAATGATGCCGCTCGTTTGCTCATTCTACCCGACTGTCCGATTGCCCACTCGTACGATTGCCGTTTAAAGACCACGTATAATACCTATATCTCCTCTCCATCGCATCGGAGGAACTAGATGGAATCCGTTCGTGGACAGGCGACACCAACGGTATTCCCTGCCCGCAACCACAAACGTCGTTCCGCTCGAGGACGTCGGCATCCAACACAACATCGTCGTGCTTGCTTTAGCTACCGAGACAAGTGGTACACCCTACGTACATTTGTATACCCCGCGTACGTTTGTATACTCGACACAACAATCGAAATATTGACGGAAGCGTGTTGTTTCGTGAAAATCTATCATTAGAGATGCATATTTCGTTATTTAATTTCTTCATAAAGAATTGAAAGTCAAACTTGATGTTAATTATGTACTATCAATCCTGTAAATTTGTTACTTCAAACAATGCATGTTCATTTCGGTCGAATTTTATAAATAAAATGATCTACAAATGATCTACAATAAATCATCAAAGTAAACTGTAATCCGTAAAGCGTAGCGAGTTAGATCGTTAAATCTCAATTTGATAACCATTCTTATATAAAATACAAACAAATATAAATTTTAAAGAATAAAGAAAATGTTACGATAAAGGCCTATCATTTTAAAAAGTTTCCAATGCCATCTTGTAACACCTTTTACAACACTTCGTCGACAAACAGAAGTGGAATTTACCTCATCGACTGTAGATATTCAAACTTAAATCGAGTCGATCAAGGAAGTCCAATCGAGAATACATTTCAAAAATCAAAAAAAAACAATTTTTCTTGACATGGATTTTTTTACAAAACTTGACATATTTTACATTTTACATTTTGTATTGTATTTGTTGGTATATAAATAAAATTTTTTAAAATCTCAATGTAATCGTTAAATTATTTTATCTCAATCTCTTTCCATTAAATAAGTATTGATTTAAAAAACATATCTTACTACAAATTGATATGATGTACGAAAAAGTGTGCAAAACATTATTATTTGGAAGAATGTATAACGTAGTTAGTACGACACAGTTCTCAAAATGGGCGACACTAACATATGCTAAATTTATATAGGATGGTTCCATCCAAATTTAGATCAGTGCATGATAGAACAACATCGAACTTCGTATGTTGTTCCTCGATTCATTGGTTTTCCCTCCAATCATATCATAGTTTGAGAAACTTCTACTAAAGACTTTAGTTTACTCCAATTGACAGTGCATTGTATCGAAATGAGGTAAAACTGAATTTTCAGTACATAAATATAACAATATATATTAAATTTGATCAAAAATACTTTAATTCATTCAAAATCTATATTTACAATCTAAAATTTTAATTAAGTCACGAGTCGATTCTATAAATAAAAAATCTTAGATTAAAATTAAAATTATTGAATAAATAGTTATAAGTAAACTTTTAAAAAAGCTTGTATTTTAATTACGATATTTAATAACCTATAATTATTATTTGATACTATCGATACTGATATTGTGTAAACAGGAAAGAAGAAATCATTGACAGTTTCAGTGTTCAAATTTAAAAGACTAAATAACCGAACAATTAATGTATGCCATCTGAAGGGGAAAAAAAGGAAATTACCTGCGTACGATAAGTAACCTAAAACTAATCTACATGTTTTTCTCTAACTGTTATACACTAATTATTCATAGTCTTACAGTTATAAGATCGCATAGTGTGTAGACGTACAGATGAATACATGACGTCGCATTGTTTAATTCTAATTAACAACGCACAATATATCTTGCGATAAATTCACTATTAAATTACTGTTTTACAGATTATTTATTAAAATGTATTCGCAACAACGTTTGTTTCTAATTGTGTTAGTTTTATTAATATTGGCAATCCACATCCATGGCGCTCCAAAACAAATACATGTCGGTAAGCGATATTGTCATTTTTGAAGCATATGGTCTAAGTGCGAAAATCTTGCTTTTATTTAAAAAAAAAAAAACAATTTGACAATATAATTAACAAATAGAAGCTCAAATAGTTTATTTTATTAACGTCATTTAAAATTAACGTCACAAAAATTTTAATATATAAATATTTTATTTAAAAATTGTGTAATATATTAATATTAAACAACGAATGAATCTTATAAATTATCAATTGCCTTATTTTATCTTTCTCTTTTTCTCTCTTTATATTTTTACTTACTGAGTCATAAAAATACTATAATTACAAATAATACTATAAAAGTACAAAATATATGTATATTAAATAATAAAGCATATTTAGTATAAAGAAATTTCTCAATATAAAAATAAGCAATATATATATAGCGTAATAATTTTAGAATTAAAGTTATTTTAGTATTAACGAATTTTGAATATAATACGTGGAATGCGAAAGAAATGTTTCTAATGAATGTCTCTTTAGCTATGCCCTCATGTGCTATTTGTTACTTAATATTGATCCAACCATCCGCGTTACAATGCCAATTGTAAATTTTACGTCATTAAGTGACACATTATTTAAATAAAAATTATTTGTGGATTTAATTACAAATAAAAAATTAATTGCAATTATGCATTAATCTTTGCACTTTGGTTAATTATTAGTCACTAAATACTCTATTTGTTAATAATTAATCCTATCTGTTAATTGGATTTATAATTACACTAATTATATTTTGTTTATACTTAAATATAAAATATAAAGTGATTTATTTAAAAGGCACCTAATATTTATCTGTTATCTAATGTTTCTCTGAAATCCTTTTAATTTAATTAGTTTTGATTAATCTTAATTAGTTGTCTTGTGTTTATTATAGTCGTACACATGCTTTTAATCTTGCTATTATAGCACTTTAACATTAATGCAATTAGCACAATGCCCATAATGGTAGATTCTTTCTATATTGATATGTTTATTAATAAATTGTTTAGGAGCAATCTTTCATAAAGGCGATGAAGATCAGTTTTCCGCGTTTCTACAAGCAGTCTCTGAGTCAAAATATGAAAACATTGCACCCGCTTTCGAACTTATTTCTCTCCCCGAGTATATCGATGACGATACCGACAGTTTTCAGACCGCCAAAATTGGTTAGTATACGGAGAGTCTAAGAAATTAATTATTCTGGATAACAATCATATTATATTTTCGATAAAGATTTACTTTTCAATAATTTTAAATGAAGTAGTATTTTCTCACTTATTTTAATTTAATCCCAAGAATAGAAACCTTGAGGATTTATTAAAGTAGTTATGTGATACATATACGTAATATAAATAAAATATTATCATCAAATATATCTAACAGTTACATTTAAAATAAAGATAATAAAAAAAATAGTAAAAATACTATACTCTTCTTACGATTAAAATTATATATGTGTTTTGAAAATGGATCTATATGTATCGAGAAGGTTTTAATCTGCGTATTTATTGATTTGTTCGATATTATATTGTTTTTATATAGCTTGTAAACTTCTTGAACAAGGAGTTGTAGCTATTTTCGGACCTGCAAGTCCACGTACCCGTGATATAGTTGCGAGTATTGCTGCGCGATTTCGTGTACCACATATCGAATATGCCTGGCGAGAAAACAAGAAAGAGGAGGAGGAAGAATCTAGGAGGCCACTATCGATGACCATAAATGTATTTCCTGATAGCGATATGATCAGCCAGGTCAGCTATCATTTAAAAAAAAAAATTTCACACAACCAGAAATTGATTTTACAGATACAATAATAAAAATAACAATTGTTGAGATTTTGAAAAAAAAATTATTACCGCAAATAATTAATTAAATTTTATATTTTTTTTATTTTATTGTTCAATTTTTATTTGTTAACGATTTTCAAGTATATATATATATATATATATATATATATATATATATATATATCACAAATTAATCGAATCAATCGTAATTTGTAAGTCTCTAAGATGCAAACAAAATTGTGATCTTGTTATTGTATTTAAAAATACAATTATTAGTTATGTGCATTTTTTAAATTAAAAAATAAAATTATGCAGGCGATTGCCGATGTCATCGATTCGATGAATTGGCGAACCTTTGCAGCTATTTACGAAGATGAGGAAGGATTGTCGCGTCTTCAGAAAACTTTGACACTAAAAGGAAACATGGATAATCCAATCACACATACGGTACGACAGCTGAACGAAGGATCAGATTATCGCACGATGCTCAAAGAAATACGCTCTTTGTCAATCTTCAATATAATTATTGATGTACGACCAGAGAAAATCACAGAAGTTCTCTCTCAAGCGAAGGAAGTCAAATTGTTAGCAGACTATTCCCATTTTGTTATTACGTATCTAGTATGTGTAATATTTACTTAATTTTAATTAAAAAATGATATCTACGAACGCAATAAAGATCTTTTCTCAGAAAAGATTTTTGTTTAAAACATTATGAAAATTGTTGTTTAAAAAAATTACAAACTAGATTTTTAAAAACTATATTGGATAATTAGGAAAGTTGAGTAGAATAAATAAAGCAAAATATTATATATTATTTTTTGTCAAAAGGATTTAAAACCACGTATCATAAACAATTTTTGAAATACTTTTTTATTAATCTTTTCATTAAAATTGTAGGATTCAGAGAAGCTACCTATCCTCGAAATACGAAATGGAACTGTTAATATTACCGGACTCAGTATAAGAGAGAATGATAACATAGAAGGAATTAATTGGGTATTTATTTAAGAATTTCTTGAATATTGTCAACAATAAGCATAATATAATAAAAATATAATTTCAAAATTATTAATATTAATATTAATATTACTTATAGTTTTTAAATATTTAATCAAATCAGATGTCTAAACAAGCGAGCGTGAAGAAATAAACAACTCTCTTTACAAATTTGATATAAAATTATAATAAAAAAAGTTTCTTAGGAATTTGAATTAAAAAAAAAAATATCAAAATATTTCTGTACAATCTTTTATCACGCGAGTATTTACGAATTAAGTAAAAAAAAAATATTGAGTTATTTCAGCAGGGAGATCAATATGCATTTAAATTGAATTAGATTTTCTATTAAGAATTTTAAATACAGAATTTGCGTCAAATTAAATCAACTTAAATTATCTGCAATTTTGGTGTAGCTAGAATCAGCGCTTCTCTACGATGCTGTATTTTTGCTAAGTAACGCATTAGAAGTCCTAAATGCAAGAAACATTGATAACGGGGAATCATCTTTAATCATTGAGCCTACACCATTATTCTGTAATAGTACTAAAAAATATCAAGCAGGACCTAATATTACCGGCATTATGCAAGAGGTAAGTTCTTCTATTATTCTTTAATAGTGTAAAAATAATAAAAAAAAAAATAATAATTCGATTTTAAGATGTAAAATGTACAAAGAAATTGAATTATATGATATAACGTCACATTAAATAGATTGAAATTTTATCGTCAGTTATCGAAAATGGGGAAGATAACGGGTCTTATGGACATTGATGAAGACGGTCATCGCAAAGATTTTAATATAAAAGTCCTGGACTTTCGACAATCGGGTGTCGTACAAACTGGACTTTGGAACTCTAACGGTTTGACTTTCACAATGACTGAGCAAGAGCAAGAAAGCTATTTGTACAAATCTATCAAAGACAAGCTATTCAAGATTACCACAAGAATAGTGCGTAATATTATTTAATACAAATTAATTATTATTGTTAGTTGTTATTATTATTAGTGCTTCTATTAAAATCACAATTATAAAATGATTATATAATTTTAAATATATGAATTTAAAAATCTTAAAGTTATATATTACGTATTACATAATTAAAAAAAAATGTTTAACTTATAAATAAATATAAAACCTATAAATAAATATAAATGTTTAAACTATATTATATTAATTATATTAAAATTTTAACATATACGACACAAAAATAATAAGCTAAATGAAAAACGAAGTCGTATTTAATCAATAATTTTATTTAGAGTTTTATAGTAGTACAAATATCTTTTCATTTTCAATATATCGTTGATAAGACAAATAATAACGTGTTCCAATAAATCAATGTAAATATATACATATACAATTTTTTATTTTATATATATATTCTCTCTCTCTCTCTCTCTCTCTCTCTCTCTCTCTCTCTT